GGTCCCACAACATGGCAAGATTTAAGAGAGAGGTTCTAGAGGGCATCTACTCTGCCAGAATGTACCTGGTAGGCAGAAACAATTGGAGATAAGTGGTCTGTCAGATAACCATGAAGGGCTTTAAAGATAACGACCAACACCTTGAATTGCACCTGGAAGTTGACTGACAACTAATGCAGCTCGCATAGAAGTGGTGACACATGGGCATACTGAAAACCACATATTACTGCTCATGCTGCTGCATTTTGAACCAGCTGTAGCTTCTGGATAGTCCTCAAGGGCAGCCCCATATAGAGTGCATTATAATAATCTAGACACGAGGTAACCAAGGGATGAGTAACTGTCTGAAGGGCCTCCTGGTTGAGAAAAGGGCACAACTGGTACACCAGATGAATCTGTGCAAAGGCCCTCGTGGCTACAGCTGCCACCCTATCCAAGACCAATAATGGAAATATCCCTGACCCAGGAGGAGAAACAACTACTGCCACTGAGTCTTGTCAGGATTGAGCCAAAGTCTGTTCTGCCCCAACCAGGCCCAAACAACCTCAAGACACTGGGTAAGTACATCGACAGCTTCACCTGCACAGCCAAGATTGGCATATAAAACTGGCAGTGACTCTGGCAGCATACAAGATTAAAACAACAGTTTAACAATCTAAACCACAATGCCTGAGGTCAAAACAATCATCTCAACGGATAAAAAAACAACACCAACCAGCAGAGCTTGCCTAACCTCCTGGCCCGAACATCTGGGAGGAACAGCCAAGTCTTCAATGCCTTATGAACACCTAACAGGGTCATGCCATTTCCAGAGGGATGCTGTTCCAGAGGCCAGGCACTGCCACAGAGAAGGCACAACTCCTGGGCATTGACCACTTATCACCTTAAATCACTTCAACTCCCAGAATTCCCCAGCCCTTAAAGTTGCAGAGATTGGGAAACACTGCCTTAAATAAATCTTGCTGCAGAGACTCAGTGAGATCCATGGCTTGGGCAAGGAATGACTTTAAACTTGGCATAGCAGCCAAGAGCCTGACATAATCCATTCATCCAACCTTCATCCAGGAAAGACTTGGTTGAAGAGAGTATTCCAGAGTCTAGATGTCCCCAGGGAGAAGGATGGTCTGTGAGCGACACCAGACAAGCTGCAGTTCTTGACACACCCACCAAGACCTCTGATCAGCCACAAAAGGGAAATTCTCAAGGACCTTGACCTCACATTGCTTAGGGTCTTGTGCATCACAAGCAAACCCTGCCCTGAAGTTGGCTTGATAACTGGCATCATGGAACTCGTACATGGCCAGGTGCCCCAGGCTGCTATATTCTGCACATCTCCCAGAGCAAGCACAAGGGCAGTCCCACATAGAATGTAGAATAAATTATGGGCCACTGTGTCAGAACTGACCCTGGGCAACTACACCATGAAGCACCCACCATCTTGCCCTCCCTTCTCTGTCCCTCAATTTTGTGAAGCAGTTGTTCCTTCGAGCCTGTCATCCGCTCACATCACATGCCCTTAGTATGCACCCTGCTGATCCCTGCCTCAAAGAAAAGCCAATAAAAGCTTTATTTGTTCTAGGACTGATTTCTGATTTCTGGGGCTCTTAGTAACTATCTCCACATTCATAATTCAAGGGTATCTGTTTCCTTCTTGCACTTTCTTAGTCTCTAGCCTTAATTTACCAGTGGAAAAACAATTGCTCTAATTATTCTGATTGTTGTAGTCATAGAAATAATCTATTTCCTTCACGATCTTGTCTAGTTTGCCCTTCCCTGCCTCTCTAGATGTAATCTCTCCTTTATCCTCCAGCATACCCTCCCACTTTATCTTTTCTTCAACCCAAGAAAATAAAACTATCTACTATTTTGCTTCTTCGCCATCAACTTAAGCTCACTGATTTTACTTTTTTACTGATTTTTTTATTTTTACTTATTTTTTTACTTATTTTTTTTAAATTTTTACTGGTGGTTTTACTTTACCTTTGGTTGATTTTACTTTTATTGTCTTTATATTTAACTAATCCCGATTTTTTTTGCTTTCCATTTTAACTCTCATAATCACTTTTGGGGCATTCCAGATAGAAAACTACTGTCATCTGCCTTATCTCAGATTTCTAGGATTCTGTCCTCCGATTCTAACTAGCTGTCATCCCTTCCTCTCTTCTTATTCTTATATTTGCTGAAGAAATTAGAGACAACATGCCATTCTTATCTACCCTTTCCCCATCTTGAACTGCTCTGTTTCTCCCAGTTCTGTCCTGTATGTTGTGAAGGTTCCTCAGAAGAATAATCAGGAGTTCTGCCATTTGCCTTAATATATCTCAGATTCTAGCATGATCTACACCAGTTGTTTCTCAACCTTGGCAACTTTAAGATGTGTGGATGTCAATTCTCAGAATTCTCCAGCCCCCCCCTGTGGGCGGGGAGGGACGGGTAATGTCGGTCTGCACCCATTATACTTCTGCAGTCGTGGAAAAGAGAG